TCTTTCCCCCCTGCATCCATCACGAACCGGCTTCTTCTCCGTCCACTCACGTACAAACTCCCAAGCCCCGATTCCTCATCTCTTCCCCGTCGCTCCCTCAACAACCACCAGCCTAGCCACCGCCTGATCTCTCTCCACCAGCAACCGATCCCCTATGCTCTCCTCTCCTCCATCGTTCCGATCAGCCACCACCCCATCTCCCCGTCATCACTCTCTCCACAGGCCGCAAGCCCCACTTTAAGCCGTCATCGCCCCCCTTCAACAACGAGCAGCCTCCACTCGCCAACTCCCCTACTCCCCTCCACCTTCACTACAACAAATTGCACTTTTCCCGACGCTTATTCCCGACGCATGGTTAAATACGTCGCCAAAAATTATGTTTTTCCCGACGATTTTAGTTAGCGTCGGCAAAACATATATTTTTTCCCACGTTTATAATTAGCGTCGCTAAAAGTGTATATTATTTGCGATGTTTTATCTTAGCGTTGGTAAAAATTGTATGGAATTCCCGACCTTTTTCCATTTTCGTCGGCAAAAATATAGCTTTTAGCGACGTAAAAATATTCGTCGCAAAAAAAGTATACATTTGGCGACGCAAAACTTTTCATCGCAAAATGTATATTTTTGCCGACGCTTTTTTATTCACGTGCGTCGCCAAAAAAAGCCCCCTCTTTTTTTTCATTTCCCGCCTACTTTTTATTTCCTCCCCCTCTTTTGAAACCTCGTCCTCCCCTTTGCCCTCCTCCAAAAACCCTTCTCCTCCTCAAACTCCCTCTTCTTCTCCTCCTTCAAACCCTCCAAATCCAACCTCAGACTCCGGCGATCCACTGCTCGCCCTCTCCGCGTCGTAAACGAGAAGGTCGTCGGAATCGACCTCGGAACGACGAACTCGGCAGTGGCGGGAGGGAGGGAAGCCGACGATCGTGACGAACGTCGAGGGGCAGCAGTTTGCGGCTGAGGAGATAACCCTGACCCAAATCTCCTTGTTAATATGTATGTTGTTTTCTGCCCTCTTTTATTTGAAAATATTGGTTTTTGATTGAAAAGATGTGATTTTGATTGTTTGGGATTAGGGATTTGGATGGGGTATTGTCGGTGGAGGAGAGGAGGATGGAGCAGAGGGAAGAGGAGGTTCTGCACGCTGGCAGTCTCCGAGTTCCTCGAAGGTTTGGTTCTTTTTATTTGAATTTATGATGTTTTTTTTTTGGTTTTTTTAAGTTTAAATATTGGAAGTTTTTATCATTGTTCTATGTAGGCCGCCATGGAATGCTAGCATGTCACTAGAGGAGTTTGATGCTAACGAGAGGCAGGAGTTCTTAGTTTAGCGCAGAAATCTCGCAAAGTGAGATTTTTGTGATTGTCATCTTGGTGCTGAAAGGATTTCATGTTTGATTAGTTAATAATATATCTAACTGCAAAAGAATGTGGATAAAAAAGGGAAAAAATGTTTGATAATTAATTAGTTAATAATGTTTGATTCTACGTTTTCTGGATGAACATTTAAGATTATGATTAGTGGCTAATTAGTGTATTTCTCTTGAAATCAGTTATAGAGTATAGTCAGCATCCTTTGTGGTGTTTTTCTCTGGTTCCTATCACTTTCAACTGGTTCTGCATACTTACTCAGGATCCAGAAAATGCATTTCACATCTACTTCTATTAGTTTTAAATAAACCTGGAAAAGCATTGCATTTTCTAATATTATATATTCAGGATTTGTAAGGACATTTGAATTTAGTTTTATGGTTTTACATGTAACATGAGGAATCATTATGGTGGTCCTGATGTTTCACAATTCACATATTCCATGTTTCACACTAGTTATTTTTAAATTGGGTAACAACTAACTTCAAGAATTTTATTTTGGGTAGATATAGTTATTATGCCATGTTTCTAAAACTATCCTTTTTAAATTATAGGCTCGAGGAGAATGACAAACTTGTCCTTACTCCTTTTGAAAAGAATCTGGACATATGGAGACAGCTTTGGCGAGTACTTGAACGAAGTGATCTGGTAAAAGTTGGCTTAAGTTCTGCAATGTCGGTTCTAATTTTTGAATTCACATTTTTGTTGAAGTCTTGCTTATGAAAGGTCGTAACATGTCTATCATCTACTTTACTTACCATCTATTATTATTTAAACATTAATCTTGTATTTTCTCTTTTATTGATCAAATGATTATTAGAGTATAAAAGTTGCCTTCACTCTCTAAAGTATAAAGTTAGTGGGCAAATAGATCTCATCTTTATTTGGCTATTTCTTAAATAGTTTGAACGCACTAATACATGTACATATGATCATGAGACACAAATAAATGTGCGACCTATAATTTTTGTTATTTGTATGTTCTACTATATGACATAACCATGTTGAGTGAATCAATTAGGTTTATTCAGTTTAAAAACAATCTATCATAACATATTATATGGTAAATGTACTGATTATTTGGAATATCATGATCAGTATATGCGATGACTCCTTTTACTTTTGTATTTTTTACTTGTTTTACTTATGGCGATATTTATTTGTTCGTGGGTATCATATCTAATTGTTACCTTACAATATATTAACTTTTACTAACTTCGGTAAAGGAACTGATTTAAGAACCTGCGTATTAAGAATCAGTATTTTCTGTAGCTATACAAGCATACATATATGAAGAATTTCCTCCAACCCTTATATACATTAAAGGTCTTGGATCGTATATGAAGGATGGTCTTCGTTTTTATGTATGGCTTATTTCTCGCTTATGTATAGTAATTAGGGAACATAACATTTCATTCTGTTTAAATTTTAATGAACGAACTGTTAAAGTTCCATAACTACACGGTTTTCATTACATTTGTTTTCGAACTCCCATTTCGACAATATGCACTCCTTTCATTGATATACAAGTTCTGTACTTTATTCTTTTTCCAGTTGGTGATGGTTGTCGATGCTCGAGATCCATTATTTTACCGATGTCCTGATCTTGAGGTATGTTTGCTTATTTGAAAATCCTATCTTTTTTTTTTTTTTTGCGTATGGTATTAAACTTGATGGTCAAGATTTGGAAAACTTATAAAATATTAGCTGCAATTATCAGCCTTTTCTTGTCCCATCTATATGTTGCTGAACAAATTTTGGCAGTTATTACACTTAATAACTCACTGCCAATGTGTAGGCATATGCACAAGAAATTGATGAGCAAAAGAAAACTTTGCTTCTTGTTAACAAGGCAGATCTATTGCCATTCACTGTGAGGTACGTGGTTGTAATCATCTCACAACCCCCTCCCTTTCAACTGGTTCTGCATACTTACTCAGGATCCAGAAAATGCATTTCATATCGACTTCTATTAGTTTGTGAATAATCAGGTTCCTATCAAGAATTTTATTTTCGGTAGATATGAAGATAGCTTTGATGAGTACTTGAACGAAGTATGCAGAACCAGTTTCTGAATGGTTGTTTGTGTAGGCCTGGTTGTTAATACCCCCAAATGCTAGTTCAGGTTTGTTCTCGGCCAGTTTTTGTGCATATGTATGCACTTTTGTGAGCCTGATGATATTGATAATGAGTTCAGTTTTGCGGGGAGGAATAGGGAGGACATGCAGTATGGAGCTGAGGCTATGTTGCAGGGTCACATGAGATTTGGGCGAGGTTCGGATATGGAGATGCTTCAAGGGGTTACTTCTGTGTCCAATGTGCCTTTGCTTACCAATGGTGAAATGGTACGCTATAATTTACTTCTCACTATCAGCAGCAATTGGATTCTCTTACTACATTTGCTGACCTATATCTAAGGGTATTAATGGTTCATAGATAGTTAATTATCAAGTTATTAGGGCTTATATGTGAAAATTATGATGAAGCGAGTCAAAACTAAAAACCTGATAGCTGAAGTCTTAATTGTTTAAGTTTGATTTACTGAAGGGGCTGGATTTATCTGGCTCCTGTTGTATGTGATGTGGGAATGTTGGTAGGACCATTAATGTGGCTACATATATATATATTTTTGTTTCTGAGACTGCAGATCATCAGTGGTAATCATCTTATAACTGTAATTTGAGACTGCATTTTATGCGGATGAGATTCTGCATCTTGTTCTTTTAGATTCTACTGCTTCTCAAAACTTAGGAAATACTTGATAGAGTTATGATGAAAGAAATGGTCCTTTTGCATGCAAAAGAAGCATTTTTCATGTTTTTATTCTGGGATGATGAAAATTAGCCAAATCAGAAATATATCGGCTCCTTTGAGTGTTTCCTCGCAAGATTCAGAGATAACAGTGCTTCCAGTGAATATTACCCTGGTAGTTTTTGCTACGCACTTCGTGAAGCTTGCATGTGAAGCCTTGAGTTGAAGCCGATATCACTGACGATACAAATGAGATTGGTTATTTAGTGACCAGATTCCTTTGCACACAACATTTGAATAGATTAATTCATTTTGTTATTTTTTTACCATTTAGCTCATTATATTGTCTCCTGCACTTTATATTGTATGGAAACATCAAAAGAAACTAGTTGATATTACTACCTGCCACATAATTCTGATTTTTGATCTGCAGTTTATGAGGGTGATAGAGAAGCTCTATTGTAATGACTGGTATACAAGGCTAGTAACAGCTTCCGTTATGGAAGAGGATCTAGCATAGCATTTTATGTCTAGAAAATGGGATATCTCTTTTCTTCAATATTTACGAGTATATATACAAGTATGCACTTGTATGTGTAAATTAACACCAATTTGTAGTACCACTACAAGCTAGGATATGTACAAGTTTGCACTTGTATGTGTAAATTAACACCAGTTAGAGATAGTTTTGCTATATTATGGCTCTTGATTTTTCCTATGGGATCATTCTAAGAAGAGACTGTAACATCAGTTCGGAAAGCCACAGTGTCTAGATGCATCCTTGTATACCTGAAAGCCTTTTTCTTTGCAGTCTCTACATTGTTAGCTTTAACCTTCAGTAGTTAAATTGGTTTTGTGCTCAATAAATTAACTAATAGTGCGCATACATTTGTTTTCTGCTAACAGGAATTCGGATACCACTGTTATGAAGGAAAAATAAAAACCTTGGAACGACAATATACACTTTTCCCTTGCAGGAAGAGGTCTGTTAATTTATGCATGACATGTTTGTGACCCGTACCTGAAATGTTTGTGATTTATGCATGAAATTGGAAGAAAATGCAGTATTTTTTTAGTTAAAGAATTGTGTGTAACTCAATGCAGTAATTTTTTTGCTTTGATGATTTTAGTTACCTGATAAGTTTCCCAGTATCCTCAAGGTTGCATCAGAAAGTAGTTCACCTGTAAGATTAGGTGGTGGCAATGCTGTTTTAAATGGTACTATTGGGGGGGTACATGTATTTTCTTGCTGCCCAAGGCCTCTGATTTCACAAAAAAAGCAATATTGTTTCTTATAGGAGCTCAGACTGCTTGGGATATTCTGTCCGAGGAACAAGCTCTGAAACACACAAGTACCAGTTGTGAAGATCTAGATGGCATGCTTGGAGGTGGTATTCATTGCAAAGAAGTTACTGAAGTTGGTATATATCCATCTAAACCTCTGTTCAAATGATTTTTTGCATTCTAAACTAATTAGCAATATGATCGAACATAGATGTTTTGTTTGCCTATGATATTTATATTTCTGCTGAAGACTTGTGACAATAGAGGATATACTTGAAATTTGCAGAAAACATTTGTCTAAATTAAAAGGCAGTTTATGGCTTGGGTATATTTCCATAAACCTGGCATAGTCTACACGCACATGGAGCTGTGCCAGATCCCTGCTTGGAGCTTCTCTCCATTTTTTTTTCTTCTTATGCTCTCATTGGCTTTAAGTTTGGAATTGAAATGTGTATGCTTCTATATTCAACTAGTATAATGCACGTGCTTTGCACGTGGATATGTTGTTGTATTTAATATTATATTATTTAATAAAGTATATATAACCATTAAAAATTATTTTATTGCACTATGATTAATTTTTTTTAACTTATACTAATATTAGTACTTATAATATTATTAACATACATTTATAGTTATTTAAATCTTTTATTATACTATTAAACAATTATTTAGGAGTATAATTATTAAATAATAATGTAATCATTAGTTTAAGTAACACTATTGATATAATTAAACCATTTAAATTATTAAATATTTCTGTCATGTACATATTTTATTACAATATCTATTAAATAATGGAAATAATTTTTAATATTATATGACATTATGTTGTAAAGAATATTACATTGTTTAATAATTAATATCATCTTAGTAATAAAAAATTGGATGGTATAAATTAAAAATACTATTATTTAGAAAAATAATTATATAAAAATATTGGATCCTTGAAATATATGAGACATTTACTTTCCAACAAATAGTGCATGACTCAAAAATTGCAAAGATCCAATATTTTATTGCACTATGTTCATAATGTCCAATTTTTATGTCTACGACGATATTATAATATCGTAAAGGGTAATGATCGTTATAATATAAACAATCCTATTTATAATATTATTAATAATTATAATTATGTACAATATTTTATTAAATAAATAATTTTACTATTTCATTATAATTAATAATTATTTTATATTAAATTATAATATATTTATTAATTTTATTATTATTATAAATTATTAGAATATTCTAGCGAGTGGCCAAATATTTTGAAGAAAAGAAGAGAAAAATATATGTCTCATAAATCATAGTTAATGAGAGGTTATGGATCATTAGTTTTATAACTAATGGTATAATTTTGAGTTATAAAAAATTGAGGGGGTAAAAAAGGAAATCAAAAGTTTTGACATGGGTATTCTCTTTTATAAGTAGTATAGATATAGATTATCTATAGCTTTGCAGGTGGAGTTCCAGGTATTGGCAAAACACAACTGGGGTATGTTTAGTTTTTCATCTTATATAGCTTTGCAGGTGGAGTTCCAGGTATTGGCAAAACACAACTGGGGTATGTTTAGTTTTTCATCTTAGGCACCTTAAGTGGGTTTGCAATGATATGTTACTTGTATGAGAAGTCCACTGCCCTTGAAAATGGTTTTGGTTTGCTAATTCATTTCAAGACCTTCAATGCTTACAAACCTAAGGATTATTGATGATTCAACATCTCCTCATGGCAAACTTTTTGTCAGATATCAATGAATTGTGGTTATTCTTTTACTTTGATGATACTTTTGTAATTTTGAACTCACATTTTCTGATCATACAATAGAAAAAATTAGAAACTGTACTATGCACACCTTGATAACGGTGACTGTAGCTGTAACAAATCAAATTGCCTGTTTCAGAATACAGAAACAGATTAAGTTCTCACAGTTGTAGCAATGATTGTACACCATCAACCAATTGACTAAGCCCTCTATAAAGAAGTTTCACTATGAATGGTTCTGTAAGTCCCATAGCACAAGAATTTCAGGTTTTCTTCAGTTAGAAATTTAAATGCATTCATAAAATAGAACCTTACAATGAACTTCTGTTGTTTTATTTCGAAACTGGCATGTTTTTTTGTATTCAATTCCTTTATTCCACAGGTCAAAGTTGTATTTCAGTAAATCACTTTCATGCAGCACGAGTCAATGTGGACAGGGGAATAGGAATATGAGGCAAAAGGAAGAATTATGCACCAGATGAGGCAGAGAAGCATAACAGACGGGATCAAGCAACGAATTTGATCAAGCAAATTGTGTTTCTTTTTTTTTCCTTTATGGATTACAAGCAAACTGGAATATTTAAACAGGCCTTTGAGTGTTGACTTGGAAATGGAAACGAATGTAACTAATTTGTAATGGGAGTAAATTCTTTGTTTATCATAATATGCAACATGTTTGGAGTATAATTTGATATTTGGTTTCTTTGTTGATGTGAATGGGTGCAATTTTTTTGTGAATGGGTGCAATTCTTTGTTGATGTGAATTGCGTCGCCAAAAGTAATATATTTTAGCGACGCTATCTTGCGTCGCCAAAGATATAGCTTTTAGCGACGCAGAATGAAGCGTCGCTAAAAGCTACACTATTGTCGACGCTAAATTGCGTCGCCAAAAGTATAATTTTTAGCGACGAACGGTTTTGCGTCGCTAAAAGCTATGCTTTTGCCAACGTTTTGGTTTTTGCCAACGCAGCATGCGTCGCCAAAAGTACACTTTTGCCGACGCACCCTCGCATTTGAAAAAATTCTACATACCTTTTGACGACGAAAAATATTATGCATCGCTAAAAGATGTACTTTTCCTGGCGCATGAAGCGTCGCCAAAAGTGTTACTTTTTACTGACGCATATTGTTTTGCGTCGCCAAATACTTGACGCACTTTTGGCGACGCGTTCGCGACGCTACATTTTGCGTCGGGAAAGATTTTTCCCGACGTTTTTTAAACTTTTGTCAACGTTTTTGTTTCGTCGGAAATGCTGTATTTTGTTGTAGTGCTTCCAACAGTCCCGACGACCCCCTGATCTTTGTCACCTCCGAACAGCCTCACCGACGACGTCCTACCCTTCGCCCGCGCCGTCACGTCGTCCACGATGTCGTTACGCCACCCTCAGCCCACCGTCGAACAGCCACCGCCATCCCAAGCACCTCCTCACCGCCCCAACCCTGCGGTCCCCTCCTCCCTGCTCTCCCTCAACCGCCGACAGTCGCCATCGTTCTTCGCCCTCGAGCAGCCACCGTCCACCTCTCCTCAGATCGAAGCCGCACCGAACAGCCGTCGGCTTTCCTTCCCTGAGATCGAAGAAGAACAGAGATCAGAATATATTGATGGGTTTGTTGCTAAGTTGGGCTGTGGGCTTCACTGTAGAAGCTAATGGGCTTTTGGATTTCTTTCAACATTTCTGAATAGTAATCCACTGAGGTTTCGTTTCTCTCAACTCAGTATTTTTTCGTTGATTTCAATTTATTAGTTAATTGCATGAGTATTGCATCTCTAAATTCTTATCATATATTCACTGCTTAAATTAAATTTGTGAGTTGTGAGTAACTGAACATGTGACTGTTGAAAATTTGATATTGATTTTAGAACGTGTATAATGATAATGAATACTGCGATTAAATTGATCGGGATTGGAATTATTCATCACTACTTATGCAAATCTTATTAAAATCCATCAGTCACATTAGTTGTTTTTAAATTATTTTCTTACCGAATATCATTTTTTTGGCGAAACGGTGCGTTGTTCAAATTAAATCGTTGATTCCGACAGACCCCTTGTCTTCGTTTCGCATCAGTTTTTATTCATGATATGATAATTCTTTTGTTTGTATATTATCACTTTACCAATTTGGAATTTCATCGGACTAAAGTATTCCTTTGTGTAGAAGAAAAACTCAATTATCTCATTAATGCTATTACATGTTTCATTTTGTTGGCAAATGATATGTTAGAGAAGACCTCGAGTGCAGCCATTACATGAAGAACTTTGATGCTGGCTCTCTCATTTCTATATTATCTTTTTCTTGTTATTTGAATGGATATTAGAGAGAAATATATAAAATTGGATGCTTTTTATTGTGAGATATTGAGTAATCATTGTGTATGTATATGTTTTATCTTTAATATTATATTATCTATTGGAATTGGATATTCAGCACCTTTTGAGACATTTTTGTGTATGTATATGTTTTTGATTTCATTGTGAGATATTGAATAATCATTGTGTGAGATGTGTATATTAAATATAAACAAGTAGATAAATAAAATAGTTAAAATTTAAAAAATATTAAAATACACAGTCCAAACGATTACAACCGTTTGGCCGAAAATTAGCCCAAACGGTTGTAACCATTTGGACAGAAATCTGGCCAAACGGTTGCAACGTTTGGACAATATTACTCTGTCCAAACGGTTATAACCGTTTGGGATTTTGCCCAAACGGTTGTAACCGTTTGGACGACCGTTGGGTAGATTTTTCCCCAACAACTTTAGCCCAAACGGTTCTTTTTACAATCCAAACAGTTGTAACCGTTTGGGACTGAGTTTTCCCAAACGGTTCCAACCGTTTGGGCTGTCCTGTTTTGTACTAGTGATACATATCTTATTTCCAGTCAGATGGTCATGCTAAAAGATACATGAGCCTAAAGTTAAATTTCCTTATTAAAGGGAAAATCCTGGTGGGGAAAGAAAATAAAAAGCTAGGAGCATTTTAATTTTAGCCAAATAATCTTTATATCCTCCTATATTGTCTAAAACGTGCGCTTCAAAAGAGAAGTGCTTCATGGTGTTTGTGGAGCGCACACTTTAGTTATGCTTTAAGTGATGAGGCATAGATTCCAAGGGATAGCTTCAGTTATGAGTTTTGAATCAATTATCATTCAAAAAGTTTCTAAGTGAATTTCAAAATGCCTTTCCAAACACTAGTGCCACATAAACCACATGCATCATGAAAGGTAAATAATAATTAATGGAACATGAAGCACTAAAGGTAGGCATAAGACACCTTGGTGAAGCTACTAAGTAGGATATTATAGTGATTAGAAGTACATAGTCTAAGAAATGAATAGAAGAATATAATTCATGTAGGTAACCCAAAAATTTGCGATTGATTGTTATTGTTGTTGTTTCTATCAATAGTTGTGTCCATATCATATTTGGAATTTACTTTGCAAAGCTCAAAATAAGGAAGATAACTCAGCAATGAATCTAAATCGATGCATAAGCAAACTCACCATCATCTTCCACGCAAGATACCCAACCGGCCCACCTCGTCCCTTATCCCCATCCTCACCAATCACATACCCTCCAACTCTCCCTCTCCTCATCACACTCTTCACAAACTCCACACCCACCTCCTTCTTTCCCCTCTCCGAATACAAACTCACCACCTTTTCCACCATACTAAACCCCAGCTCGACCCCAACGCACTCCATCTCATTCAAAAGCCCCACCACTTCATCAACCACGTGCTCGCCCAAAACCAACCTCTCGATCCAACCACAAGCTATCGAAACCATCAGCTCCATCGTCTCCCCATCGCCCCTGCTCTCCTTCTTCAACCAATCGAACACTTCCAATGCACAGTACGAGTCCCTTCCTTCTTGGGAGAAGTAGACCAAAACAAGCTGCAGCTCCCGAGACGAGAGCCGTTCGATCATCTCATTGAGCACATCGGAAGGGTCTCGAGCCATTCGCTCGAGCTCTTCGATGGCTTCAAAGAATCCGTTGGTCATCTCGGATTCGGACTCGCTCGTGAGGATCCGATCGAATCTGACCGATTTCGGCGAAACCCTAACGAATCTGGTGGTTTTTAAAACCCTAAGACGAGGGAGGGGGAAGCGGAGACGGCGGTGGAGAGAGGAACTGAACGGAGAAGATAAAGCCATTGGAGTTCTATTCAGTTCATGGCATTAGGGTTAGGGTTTTGAGTCGAAATCCAGTGAGATTTTGGGAGTGGGAATTTCGTCGAGCGTTTTGTGGGCGATTGGATTTCGTCCGCGGGAGAGGAGAAGACAAAAGCAACGTGTCAGGATCCGGAGATTTCTCACTGGTGCACTTTAATGACGATAATGGCACTGTGGTTTCGATGTAATTACGAAAAAGTTTGGAGCAGGATTTGTTGTGGAGTTAAGGGTATTTTTGTCAGTAAGGAGAGTTGGATTAGACGTTAGGTTTAGATTACTCTTGTATTAATTATTGTTTAAGCAGTGTAGATGAGGAGTTAAGTGTAAATTCGTTGCGTTATTGCACACCGTCAATAATCCTGATTATTAAAAGATTAAAGAAACCCTAGTTATTTATATGGGTTTTCCCCCGCTAAATTGCACTTCAATACTATAAAGTTTCTCAGTTTCGGCGTGTGTGTATCATAAACCGGTTTTTTTACAAATAAATAGAGTAAGTCGCTTTTAAATTAACATGTTAGTACTTTCGATTATACAAACGTGAAAATTTTTACCAGAATATTCTCATATAACATTAACCTGTTAATTTTATAACTTTCTACACCATTAATATTTGTCAAATTTATATTAAACATATCCCATCTCTATTTTGAAATTGAATTAAGTTATGTTTAAAAAAATTTAGACTTAATAGCACATTTAACATAAATTTTAATAGTTATAAAGTTTTAAAATTAGCAAGTAAGTAAAATTAAGTCTAAATTTAGACTTCCAAGATGTCCGTTTTGTAATTCAGATGTTGAGAGCCAGGACCACTTATTCATCGCATGCCCTTTTGCATCATCCATATGGTTCACCCTCTTCCCTAGTATTAGTGTTGCCTTTTGGCCTCTTTCCATGAATAATTTGATCCTCTTCTATGAATCACCAGTCGTCAACAGACATATTAGTTGCATTTGGAAGGTTGTGCTTCCATGCTGTTGGTGGATTTGGAATATCCGCAACTTACTCATTTTTAGAGATAGACAGCAAAACTCAGATCTTATTGCAGGTAACGTGGCTAGGTACACTCTCCTTTGGGCAGGTGCTCACGAAGACAGGTTGGCTAAAAGGATCCGAAGGGCAGCAATTAAGCTGCACTCTCCTTTGGGCAGGTGCTCACGAAGACAGGTTGGCTAAAAGGATCCGAAGGGCAGCAATTAAGCTGCAGTTTGATGAAATAGCAAAGAAGAAAGCACAGGTTGGCTAAAAGGATCCGAAGGGCAGCAATTAAGCTGCAGTTTGATGAAATAGCAAAGAAGAAAGCAGCAGTTGAAGTGGGAGATAACTTCTCTGCAGATTAAACCCGGTGCCGGCTTGGTCCTCCTTTTGGTCTTTCTTTTGGGCAGTATTTTTGAGGAGTAGCTTCCATCTCAAACTCTTTTTGTCTATTACTCCCTTATGTAATTTAATCGCTAACTGGTGATGTGATACATTCTAGTTAACCTAGCTTAGGTAGGTGACTCTCAGGTGTTTTTCTTTTCATCTTCTCT